CAAAAACACACCTTTAACCCTCATCATCACCCCTCTAACCTGCTTATAGTTGGTCACTGCCTTGATGTGATGACCTGCAGTGATCAGAGCCACGTCTGCTGAGGGAATCTGGGATGTCAGCTGTCCAATGAAGAGGACGTTTTAAGTTTCATGACACACACTGTGGCAGTAAACGCCTTTATATTTACGTCACACGTGCACAGAGTTCACTCATTTCTCATCAAAAACTCATTTTCACCTGTTCAACGCATGTCACACCCGCGATGCCACCTCCCACGATCACAAACTTAAATGTTTTCTCCTTTTTAGCTGCCATTCCTCTCGAATGCTAACTAGCTAACAGGAGCTAGCCGAGCATTTTTCAGACACCGAAAAGTAAACAAACTGAATCTAAGACTCTTCATTTTCCTGCAAAACGACACTTATGCATATTTAAGCTTCATTTAGGTAGCGGTTGAGTGTAAAAATACTGATTAGGTAACGAGTAATTCTTGTGGGAGCTAGCCGGTTTTAGCACACATGAGAATGAAGTAGCGCAACTTCCGTGTTTACAGTTAGCTACGGCAAGCAACAGGAGGACTGAGAGCGCGTTTGGAAAATGGGCGTATTTAAATTCAGCACACATGCGATTGTGACACCTGCTGTTTGTGGAAGCAGGAATATCTCTTAGTGAAATTTGCATATTTTACATATCTCCCACTTCATTCACACCTACTGCTGCTGTTATGCTGTTATTGGGGCATAAAGAATTCAATGACTTACATTATACCTCATCCAGTTCTGTTTGCTGATGGAAATAGGTTTAAAGGTCCAATTTAACTCATGTAATGCAGTTTTCCACTTGACAAAAAGTGATTCCAGCCACTGCATTGTGACTGAAACATTAATATTGCATCAAAAAAGATTTAAATTAAGATTTAATTCATAAGTGTTACTGCAAAAAAAAAAAAAAAAATCTTTTTACAACAAACACTAAAGTTGAACAAAGACACACCTTTACTTTTATCATACATTGACTGTGTATTAACACGTTCTAAGCGTTTGACCCAGATAAAAGCAGCTGTAGATGGATATATAGTGGGGAGATGGTTTTCAGCAGATGATCACTTTTTGGCACAACATGGGCTACCAAACGCAAAGAAACGTTCATGTTTTTTCGTTTTATGATGTTGTCTTTGTCGTGTTAAGATAAAGCAATACAACAACCCTGCAGGTTTAGGGTTGAATTATTATTTTTCATCTTCACTAAACTGGGGCTGCATGGTGGGGCAGTGGTTAGCACTGTTGCCTCGCAGCTCGAAGGTCACCGGTTTGCATCCCGGTGAGGACACCCGGGATCTTTCTGCGTGGAGTCTCCATGTTCTCCCCGTGCAGCGTAGGTTCTCTCTGGGTTCTCTGGCTTCCTCCCACACAGTCCAAAAACATGCTGAGGTTAATTGGTGATTCTAAATTGTCCGTAGGCATGAATGTGAGTGTACTACACCTGTCCAGGTGAACCTGCCTTCGCTCTGAGTCAGCTGGGATAGACTCCAGCCCCCCACGACCCTAGTGAGGATTAAGCGGTGTGTAGATAATGGATGGATGGATCTTCACTAAACAATATTATATGGCAGCATGTAGAAGTTTCTTTTTCTTTTTGACGTCACAGTTGGAAAACTATGAATAACTGCTGAACTTTTTTTAGCGGGTTTGCGTTCATGATCCCACAATTTTGGCCACGGACGCATTATCACACTTAAATTAAAGGGAACCCTTAATGAAAATAGCAACACTTAAGTTTTGCATGCCATGACAAGTAAAATATATATTAAAATGAAAAAGAAGCCTGCTAACAAGCCATATTGTATACATTTAATAAACAAATCCAAATTATAGCCGGAGAATTTTTTCCATTTGTCTTCAGTGTCAGTGTCAATTACAATCAGTTAATGTACTCACATTACTTTTTTCAATCTATTTTGTGACCTAATTTTAATCTAAAATCATCTCATAATTGTTTTTTTCACTAAAGTTGTGTTTTGTGTGTTAATAAGAACTTATTTTTCGCTTTAAGTAGCTCCTGCTTGATCTGATTTTGTTCCCCACATCAGGAGTGCAAGTTGATAATATAATATGTTATTTCTGTACATTTGTTATTTATGTTCATGCAACATGAGTAATATTTGACATCATATTTCCAGCTTCAGAAAACATTAATTTTAGCTGATTTGGTTGTCTGCGTTGGTCCACATGTTACTGTAAAAGATGTGAGTGAGTTTCAGGTTAAAGTCCTTCACTGTGGTGTCACTGCGACCTTCTGCTCTATATCTGGATCACAACTGTACCTTTTAATGTCAGAGATTAATGTGGTCATGAATCAGATCTAAAATCCCATCAAAACATTCATCATCCGTCATTACTGCTGTGATAAACAACTCAGCGCCACACAGCAGCCGAAGCCATTTGTGGTTTTACATTGAAGTAATCGACAGATCTTGATCCCCATTCCCTGTCAGATAATGGCTGCATTGTTTTTTGGATTCATCAGCAAAATGCCGGCACTTGTTCTATTTTTGCAAAAACCTTTTATGCAGGTGTTAACCATGCATGGGAGTGTTGATGTCAGCGTCTGAGATGATCGGGTCGCCGGTAATCAAACGCAGGTTAATGCTGTGCGTCATGCTTCCCCCCTCTTGATTTTCGTTACATTACCCCGAGCAACCTCGCTGCAGGAGCACAACGCATGTGAGCACGGTTCTGCCAACATAAGGAAACGTGGGTAAACAGAGGATGCTTTTAATGCACACATTACTTTTTTGTAATGCACGTAATTGAAAGCCTTTTTTCCCATTTTACCTTGACTTCACTTTATTCTATGTGTGTCAGCTATAATGCAGATGTTATTTATTCCTGTAATGTCCCTAAATGACCCCTACTCTGCATTTTGTTATGTTTTTACCCCCCCAAAAAAGAGAAATGCATTTGGATATAACTGATTTACACATTTTTTTTCTGATTCTCAAGTCTACTTTCAGTGATCAGCAACACTTTTTTTTTAATCCTAGCTTTACATTCTTTAACGTCATATGCTGCGATAATTATCCAAATAAGCCAATTAAAGGTAATTCTACCAGCACAGGGCATTGAGGGCGCAATTATGAGTATTTATGTACAGTTTTTAATGTCCGTCTGTCGTCACTGGTGCACATTCTTTGCAGCATCACCAGGTGGCAGCATGAAAAGTAGGATTTTATTATTTCTTTAATAATCCAGAGCAGAGCAGGCCAAAAATAAATCTGAGGAATCAGATCAAATCAAACAATGAGTTGAAACTAGGAAGCTAGCAGATAAATGTTGAATGTGTGTTGAACGATATGAAGTACATACATAATATATATACGGTATAATAGTTTAATAGAGGCCATGACAAAGAGATGTAGAGTGAATTAACAGATTTAGTCTAATGAAAACCATGAAATCAACTCAAAACTACTGAATAACACCAGGAGGAGTAGCGGTCAGTGCAGTCACTAGTGAGTATGTGTGGATGGATGAACAGAGTGAAGCTACTTATGTTGAAGTGCAAATAAAAATGCACCGGAGAGAATAGAAATGTATCATATACGTGGTATAGACAGACGTCGGACCATCACTGGTATGAAAATAGAAATAAATGCAATAATATGTCGATTTTTCTTTCCAAAAAAATCCCATTTCCATTGTTTTTTTTCTTTTAATAATAAAAAAAGACACTGGGTTAAGTTTCAGGTTATTATTGTAAACAATATAGATAATTTAGGGACATTTTGTGCAAGAACGCATCCTGGATTATTAGTTAAACTTAGCAGAGAAGATAGAAGAATATCACTTTTATATCTTTTTATGCTAAATATGAAACTGCAGCCCGTTAGCTTCGGCTAATACTGGAAACAGATGCTTCAACCAGCCGGCATGACTGATGGTAAAGCATAAAACACATCAAAATCTGTATTATTATGGATGACAAATCTTTTTTAGTATCACTGTGTAGTTGTTGCATCATTAATCAGCTGCAGCACAGTCCATGTGTAAGTTTTTAATGAGCCAAGACTTCAGAAGTATGACAGTGTTTGAATTTATCACAAAACAAAGAAGTGTTTTGTGTTTTGTGAAGAGTTTCGGTGGAATATCAGACCAGCTGAAGAGAAACCACATTGGTGTTATCACTTCTCTCCTGCTCCCTGTGCTCACACTGCATTTCAATACAGATCAATTCCCAATAAGCTGTTTTAATTTATATATTTTTTCGATTTTGCTGTTGGGAATGCTAAAATCCTGATTTTATAACCACATCTAACAAGCTCAACACAGACGTGTTAAAGACGACGGCTGTCACGTGAGTTCAGTGTTTTCACAGGATTGAAAGCCTCTAACGAAGTCAGACAAAAAATAAAATAAAAAAATAAGGAGAGAAGTGCTTGTAAAATATTCACTATGTCCATGTTGCACTTAACCATACAGACTGAACTTTCTACTATCCATCTGCTGAATCCAACAACATGTTTGTTGCTCTGTCATATTTATCTCTTCTCACTCTCTGCAAGAAACAAGCCCAAAATATCCAACTATCGTCTAATGGTGGTCAACACTGACAGCATATAAGTTTTCATAAAAGCTGAATCTGGATCAGAAAGAACACAGTTGTATCCAAGAAGTACGAGCTAGTCATGCACACATCACATTGTTGTGGTGATTTGGTGTCTTATTGGGATGATTTTGAGTCTTTTTGTGGCAATTTTGCCTCATTTTGTGTCTCATTATGGTGATTTTCATGTTTCTGCATCATTTCGTGGTGCTTTAGTGTCTTTTTGTGGTGGTTTCACATCTTATTGCGGTGAGTTTGAATCTTTCTGTGTTAACTTTGCATTGTTTTTGTGGTGATGCTGTGTCTTCGTGGTGGTTTTGTGTCTTATTCTGATGATTTTGAGTCTTTTTGAGACGATTTTTGCATCTTGTTGTAGTGAATTTGTGTGTATTTTCACACCAAATGTCCCTAAGTGTCTTTATGTTCTCAGACACAGATTCAGCCCTACAGTGGTGTGTAGGTCAGCACTGGACACATGTGACTTATAGCAGGCAATAAGGGATTCCTCCTTGGTTACCTGTGGCAACAGTGAGAACATGACATGATGACATTTATCCATTGTTGACCTAAAAAGACACATACTGAAGCTATCTGAAATAATGAATGATTGAAAGGACATTTTGTTCTTTACATTAGAATTAGAATTAGAATTAGAATTAGAATAAAACTTTATTGATCCCTTCCGTATAAAACCTCAGGGAAACTGCTAATTCCCTGGTAAGTAAATCTGGAACGGTTTTTAATGGACACATCTGGTGTAACCCCACATGCAGCTGTCATTGTTTGCAATAATGTGGCTTAAAACGCATGAAGATTTTTAAAAAATATATTTTTTACAATTTTATTATCAAAACAACAGATAACATGTATTTCATACAGCTATAAATGTGTTTTCTTTTATTTATAGTTTATTAATTACTTTAATATTTTTCATTTTTCTTGTTTTCTTTTCT